TGAATAAATGAATGAAGAGTTTGGTTATGATGAATTTGTGTACAAATGTTATTTTGTGTATGTTGGCAGCTGACTGTGTGGGCCTGTACTGGCCAAAATGAATGAAGTCTTGTTATAACAGTTGTGCAGTAAAAATTTTGTGCAGTAAGAGTCCACAAATGAGGATAAAGGGTAGGTTGCAAATTGTAACTAGACAGTTAAGTGTAAATTTGAAAGTAAGTGTGAAAAATGTAACTAAGTGTTATGAGGAAGTTACAAAATGTAAGGGTGAGAGTAAGTGTAAATATGAAAGTGAGAGTAAGTGTTATGAGGAAGTTTCAAAATGTGACCAAGTGTGGAAAATGTAGTCTTGTTTGGCATTGGAGTGCTCGGTCTAGCCGAGGCTCTGAGTGCTCAGTCTGGCTGAGGCTTTGAAGTGCTCAGTCTGGCTGAGGCTTTGAGTGTTCAGTCTGGCTGAGGCTTTGAGTGCTCGGTCTGGCCGAGGCTTTGAGTGCTCGGTCTGGCCGAGGCTTTGAGTGTTCAGTCTGGCTGAGGCTTTGAGTGCTCGGTCTGGCCGAGGCTTTGAGTGCTCGGTCTGGCCGAGGCTTTGAAACTGATAAGGTTCTGGTTCCCGGGTGGATGGGTCGGACCGGTCCAGGCTCTTTAGACTCCGGCTCAGGGTGATGACTCCGTCAGGTGACCTGTATGCAAGCCCAGAGGGGAACGGGGTAGTCCCCCAGTGAACCCTCCGGTGTGAGAATTAGTAGAGCAGAGTATGAGAAAAACTGTGTAGAGAGGGATTGAGAGAGAGAGATAGCTTAACCTTATTCTTTTCCTCCTATTCTTGCTTATATTCTTTAGTTATCATTTTTCCTGTCTCTTGTGACGTGCTTTCTTTTGTTGAAAGCCTGTGCCGTAGCTTACCTTGTTCAGGGTGATGGAGACTCTGTTCCGGCGGGGGGGGTGCTGTCGTAATAAATGCTGTGATGGGATGCATTAATGGTGATGTGTTGTGATAATAACTCTGCAGATCTTTGTCTGCTGATGTGGCCCGTGTCCCACCTGCCATGTGCCCAAATGCCATTGGCCCTTCATGTCTGGATGGCCTCCAGCTGTCCTGGGCTTTGCCAACCGGGTTATGCCATTGGTCCCAAGCGATGGGTTTGGGGTGGTTTACTGTGGGCCATATGCCTTGTGGGCCTATCCATGTCAGTATCCATTCATTTTAAGTTAAAAAACCTATTGCAGTAACTTGTGGAAAATGTATCCATATTTAATGAGGTGGCACAAATATATTCATATAAATTTGATTGTTTTTTCGTTTTATAAAAAATGTTTGAGATCTTAAAAAAGTTTCACTATTTGATCAATGATGTGCCATAATAGGCATACATCAACTTTTAATTTGTTATATACCTAATGACATAGACCCAATTTCCTTACTATATCATTGTGGATAAATTTATTAGTATAATTTTTGACATTTTTTCTTTTTTAATTTTTTTTTTATTTTTTATAACAAGTTGGTATTATCAAAGTTTATAAAAATAATTTTATACAAATGATGTGCCTTTCAAACCAAAACCTACTGTAAATTGCAAATACATTCCCTAAAATTTGTCAAAAATACAGATTCTTCCTTTTTAATTTTTAAAAATTACAAATATCCGTTTATTAAAATATTTTTTGCAACTAATTTAACCGGGAAAAAAAATTAGCCAAATATCCTCTAATATCAAAATATAATTATCATACCACTCACTTTTCATCTGCCCACCACCTACACCACTGCAATATTTTTCAATCCTTCTTGGTGACATGCCAAACACTTGTAGACATAGGCAATAATAACAGTGGTAGTGATCGAGAGTGGTGCAATGGTTGGACAAAATAGTATTACTAATTGAGAGAAAATAAAAAATAAGAAAGGTGAAATAAAAATAAATAAATAAAGTGTTTAACTTTATAAAAGTTAATGTAGGTATTTTTCAAGAAAAAAATAGTATTATTTGTTAGTTTGACTTAACAATTACTCATTAATAAAAAGAACTATGTGATTGGAAATTTTGAGTAATGAAATATATAAGTAGCGTTTGGTAGAGTTTTCTAAATATGATTTGAGAATAGAGTTATATTTTGAATTTGTGAGTTTTGGAATTATGATTTGAGTGTGAAAAATTTATTTGGTGAATGAGTTTTGAAAAGAGTTTTGAATTGAGTGAGAAATTTTTGATGTGACATATAATATTTGATACAAAAACTTACAACTCATAACTAAATACACAACTCAAAAAAATAAAAATAAAAAATTGTGATTTTTTTTTATTTAGAATATACAAAATAATAGGTGGCAATTGTTAAAATAAAATAATAATAAAAAAATTGTGCACTATTTCGATCAACCGGCTGGACGTCTAGAGAGACGACCAATTAGTCCAAATTTTTCCGTTTTAAACAAAGTTTTTGAAAGTAAGTGTGAAATTAATTTTTAAAAACTATAAATAAACATCACGTTCAAAACAAAGGGTAAAACTAAAGTTTGAGAGCTTTACCAAACAGAGCCAGAGTTTCTCTATTGGTGTTGTGTGGCTTTGTTAAATGAAGCCCATCCCTCTCTTTGTTCATCTTATTTGATGTAACAAGTCTGTTGAAGTGTTGCAGTTGAACTCTGCTTAAATCAATTCATCAATTGTAAGTTTTGACATAAATGAGGGGTAAAAAGGTCATTTTACCAAACCTATAGCAGACACCATGTGATTTGAATTTTGTAGATAAGTTTATAGGGTGAAATGGTAGGCTTTATGGTTTTTTAGTGATTTTTTGACTTTTAAATTAAAAAGTTGTGTTGTCAAACAACACCGTAGGAGTTATTTGAAATGATCTAAATAAATATATTTTTTGACCTTTTATGAAAAGATTTGCAGAAAAGTAGAGAGGTAATATGACTCAAATAAGTGCACTTGTTTAGTTTATGCCAAATAAAGAACACATTTGGTACGATGGAATAGGTTACAATGGAATATCCGTTACAGGTTTGCATTCCCTTTTTCTTATTTGGTACGCCTTATCCAAGTGAGAATAGGAATGACTATTGCAACGAAATGTGGGAATGCCCATTCATTCTTCCAATTTAAGGAATGACTATTCCATTCTATCATGAAATTAATAAAAAAAAAAATTGACACTTAAAAATATATTATTATTTAGCTACTGCCACCATTCCATGTTCCTACTATTGCCACCGTTACTACCACCACAACACCACTATCACCATCACCATCACCACGATCGCTAACTCAACCACCACACCACCATACTACCACCGCTCCTACTACTATTACTACCTCTGTCGCCGCAACCACTACCTTACCACTACTACTACTACTACACTTTCATAAACATCACACCACCACCATCACCATCACGAGTAGGGTTATGCAAAATACCACCCAATCTGTTAAAATCACACCGATCTGCATTAATCTGTACCGTTCTAACAGCTAGCCGTGATTTAAACTTTAAAATTTATAATCAGTCAACCGAACCACTCTACTCCGCTATAGTTAATACATATATATTTTTTAACTTCCAATAAAATATCAATGTAAAAATGAGTGTAAGAGAGGTTTAAGATATGAAATTTATTACAAATTAGTGGTTATATATATGAAACATATCATGTAAAATTATTTTGTGTTATATATCTAAAAAATATTATACAAATTAGTATTATGTATTATGCAAACATATGATAATTAGTTAGAATATTCTTCAATTCTCCAATCCGCCAAAAATTTCCTAAATCGCAATTTGTCAATCCGTTAATCCGCCATTTGATTTGTAATTTTACTCTCAAACTGTCCGAACTGCACCACGCACACCTCTAATCACGAGAACCACCACTTTACTACAGTTGGTTGCCGTCACTGCCACCACCATTGCAGCCATAATACCACCTTACCACCTCCACTAAGGCCACAACAACCTCCTACCACCATTTTACTATCATTGTTATCACTATCACTGATGCCATCACTACTATCACTACAACTCACACCATCACTCTCACAACTATCAACATTATCATGATCTATATATATTTTAAATTTATTTGTTACTAACTTGTTAAAAAACCTATATCATTTCATGTTGGCAACCAAACAATAGAATGAGAATGTACATTTCATTCCATTCAACCTTGTATTCCATTCTCACTCTCATTCCATTCCTATTTCATTTCATTTCATCATACCAAACATGCTCTTAGTTTCTATGGATGTTTTTACATATAAAAATTATTAACAGAAATGCCTCATACACCCACTGGGGGTCGACCCCCAGTGAGGTGGCGCCCCGTGATTGGGCGAAAAAAACAGTTTTTCTTTTTCTTTTCTTTTTTTATGTTTTCCGCGAATGAGAGCTGGACAGTTCACTGGGGGTCGGAAGCGCTGTTGAATTATTAATTTGATGGATATTGTGGTTTTCATTGAAAGTATTTTCCTAATTTTAGATCTTATTTACTAATTGTTAAGATTGAAGGAATGCGTCTCTATGCCTCTTGGGAATTAACTCGTAGAGTTTCAAATCTATGCTTTTTGCTATTTTGGAGGTGAATATATCTTACCATGGAAAACATTACCTCTATTCAAAATACAAAGTTTGAAAATGAATTAAATTACATGTGTTATCATGATATTAATATGTATTGAAAAATCTATAAATTTGATGAGGTCAAAAATCGAGTTTAAATAAAGGGTTTCATTTGTATAATGAAGCATCAATTTTTATATGAAAATTTATTTGAGTTGCACTACTAGAAAAGGTTGTGACTGTAAATGGTGCCGTCATCAAATAATTTTTTTTGCAACGGAAACTTCAAGACCGTGGCAAAAAATGGTATTTTACGCGACGATTTCTCACCCGTCCTTTTTTTTTTTTTTTTTTCTTCTGCAGTTGTTTATTTTGTTTTGCGACGCCATTTATTCTTCCGTCGCAAAATTTTATTTTTGCTTTCCGCACCTTCCTCTTTGCCCTATCTTCCATACCCTTTCAATATCCTCTTCTCAGATTAACCAAAAAAATGGGAAAAAAAACCGTCTATCTTCTCCAGTCGCCATTCTCTGTCTAACTAGAGCTTCCAGTCGTCACAACCCCAACAGCACTAGCGTGGCAAGAGGTAACCCTCGTCTCCTCTCCTTTTCTTTCCTCTTACACTCGCTCGCACAGACCCTCACAATCTCTCGCTCTCGCGTTAGGCTCACAGACTGTCTGTAGCAGTGGCGGCGGCGACTTTTCACGGGTTCTCCCTCCGGCATCCAGGTATATCTCTCCTCTGCTCTCCTCTACTTTCCTCTGCTGTTCTCTTCTCTTTTTCTCTTATGTTGTCTTTACTGGAATCAAACCCTCTTCATTGGATTTAACCCTAAACACCAGTTTTAAAAATTAGGTTTTGATCTCAATTGAAAGCGGGAAACAAGTGGTTGTTCTGGATCTTTTGGATTTTCCCATGAAGTGTAATGTGGATATAACCTCATAAAGCACCAACCCCAATCTCTGCAAGTATACATTTTAATTAGACAAAGCCTCATGGTAGCTAAAGTGGTTGTTCTGGATCTTTTGGATTTTCCCATGAAGTGTAATGTGGATATAACCTCATAAAGCACCAACCCCAATCTCTGCAAGTATACATTTTAATTAGACAAAGCCTCATGGTAGCTAAAGCTTCACATATTTTTCTGTAATATAAGCATTTTAATACTTAACAAAAATCAAAACTCTGAAACATGTAACAAACACTGTTAAAATAAATTGACGACTTATTAATAACAGAAAAATAATAAAATAAAAACATGCCCCTCTTGGAGTGGGGCAAATTCGGCGAATATTCTACCTGAAACTCCAACGTTGAATCACTCAACACTAATAGAATTGGTGTTCCAATGCCAGTTCTCTAGTTAGGCCAAGTACTGTTGCATATTTTTCGTGTAATCTGAATGTTAACTCCTTGTCGTTTGTCTTACATGAAAATTTCATTTGAAATGTGATTTTGCGGAAGGTTATTAGAATTTAGCCAAATAGTTTTGGCCCAGTGAATTGAGATGATGCAATGAAGAAATATTTTATGCTTTTAAAATAGGAATTTTCTAGGAATTTTATTTCTATATCAAAAATGAGAACTTGGGGGAAGATGACAATCAATAATCTTTTTCATTGAGTTAGTGTTAAATTTTCTAGAGGAAACAGAACATAGTAAGTATTTAATTACAAAATTTGTGGTTCCTTGAATTATTGTTAAATTTAGTTAGATTTAATAATAAGAAGAAGAATACAGAAGAAAAGAGAAATTATATGCTGGAATGGGAAGAGAGAGTGAATTAGGATTCTTTCCATCATCCTCTTGTTCTAATATTAAATTGGTAAGTACAAATACACTTCCAAGTTTACATAACACGTAATACTTATCATGCCCAACTTGCAAATAATGGGGTGAAAATTCTTACTACCAATCCTTTTACTAAATACATCTTCTAACTGACATACAAATCACAACCTTGCTCAACTTTTTCTTAATAAACTGTCTGTCAACTTCAATATTCTTGGTTCTATCATGTTGAACTATATTATGAGCGATGTTGATGGAACCTTATTGAGAAAAACCATAAACAACATTTGAGAAATAAAAGAAACCCATAAAGCTTCATTTAAGCTCCAATTACCTCAGTTGCTGCCTCAACAGGCTCCTCAGCAGGCCTTTCCATTTTCATTCCAACATCCTCTGTAGAGTAGTCACCATGGACGTCCATTAACTTGCCAAGATCAAACTTGGGAGCTTTCAAGATCTTAACTTTGCGAATGAAGACATTCTACAGCAGAGGGTAGATTTACACCCCTAATCACAATATAGATCTTTCAATAAAACCTAGAGCCACATAAGCTCCCAAATTCCATGACCCAAGCTGCCACGTAAGCTCACAATATAGATGTGGGGGCTGAATATTGGGAGTCGTAGAGATGCCGAATAGTCGAACTTGGAGTCGAAATATATAGCACTCGACGCCGTCTCACATGCTCGAATCCTATCCTATTCGGCCAAATAGCCGGTCGAGCAAGGGGCCGAGTGAAAAACGGTTTGTTACAATTGAAGCCGAATGGCGAATTGAAAGTGGACCCAATCCCGTGGCCCAAGAAAGAAAAGATATAAATAGAAGAACATCAGCTAGGAAGAGGTATGGGAGAACCATTACACTTTACTTAAAATACAAGTGATTCAGAGAGTAGAGATTGACTTGCCCGTTGGAGTGCTAATTCTGGCACCCCCGACCGGAGTGTTAATTCTTTTTCAGGTGACTAACTGAGGATCACTAGCGTCCCCAAGGATTTGAAGAGTATTTCCAAACCACTTCTCTACAATTGGCGCCGTCTGTGGGAATACTCAAATACATCTATGGCGGGCATGACGGAAGACCCTCCAATAGACACTGATGAAACCACTCAGAGAGACGATCTCACTCCAGCAAACATGCTTAGACCGGAGACTATCCCCGCAAGACGCGCTTTGAACTTCACCTCACCCTCGACTCCAGAGCATGAGGCAATGCAAGTGATCATAGAACAAGTAAAGCAAAACGAACAAAGGTTGGAGAACATAATCGCTGAGAACGAATGTCTCCGTCAGGTCTTGGCCTTGGAAGTGGCAAAGTCCAAACAAGCTGTACGCCAAGATCCGGAACGACCTCTGAGGGCAGGTGGTCGACGACCTCGAGCCCGACAACAAGACACTGATAGCGACTCCGACTCATTATTCCCGGAGCCCAAGAAGAAGGGACGACCCGAGACTTTCAGTTCCTCTGAAGAAAGTCCACGTATAAGGCATAAGCGCAGAAGAAACAGTTTAGAAGACCAGCATAATCCCTTTGTGCGACGGATCGCAAGGGCGGTTCTGCCCAAAAAGTTCAAAGCTCCATCGTTCACTCTCTATGATGGAAAATCAGACCCCACCGATCACATCCGTCACTACAAGCAAGCCATGACATTGCATGCAGACGACGAGGCCCTCATGTGCTGCATATTTCCCAGCAGTTTTGGACCATTGGATGTCAGGTGGTATTATAAACTGGAGTTGGCTTCGATCAAAAGCTTCCATCAATTACAGAAATCCTTCAGGGCTAGATTTATCACCAACGAGGTCTAGCCAAAACAAGCCGACTCTCTCTGGGCAATGCAGATCCAGCCAGGATAAACACTAAAAGCGTATTCGGTGCGCTATTAGGAGTGCTTTAATCTTGTCGATGATGCCTGCAACGACTCCATGGCCATCACCGCCTTCAAAATGGGTTTGCATCCTAACAGTGCTCTCCGCAGTTCCTTGACTAGAAGACCCCTCAAAACAGTCTGGTCGTTGATGAAGAAAGTTGAGGAATACTGCAAAGTGGAGGATGACGCCTTGCGAGTTAAAGTCGGAAACGTGGCCAACAAGCCGGCCCCTTCTGAAATTGCTCAGCCAATAAATTCTATATCACCTCAGAGCCTCGAGCCACGACATCGGGCTAAACGAGACAAAAGACAGGATTCCCGCCGATCAAGCGACCAATGCTCCCACCGAGCAAATGAACAACTACAAGTTGATAGCAGGTGCACACGGTGCGCCGACAAGAAATATATAGAGTTAACAGAGCCGATCAGCGCGGTCATGTCCAAAGTCCAACATCTTTTGTTCTTCAAATGGCCGTCCAAAATGGTGGGACCTCCCGACACTAGAAGACGGGATAAACGGTGTGAGTATCACAAGGACCATGGCCATGATACTGAGAGTTGTTATGCATTGAAGGATCACTTGGAGGAATTGGTACAAGATGGTCGGCTACAACAGTACGTCTGAAAAGGAAACTCAACCAAAGCAATAGCCTTAAGATAGAATTCCCCTCCACTCGGCGTGATCCACATGATATACAGCCTGCCAATGTTATCCGCGGTGCATACGATTCAGTCAAATCCTGACTTTCAAAGTCAACTCACTCCGGCTAAACGGCCCCATGAAGCTGCGAGCATTGCTTTTGATGATTTAGATTTGGCCGGAGTGACACTTCCCGACATCGATCCCTTGGTAATTGAGTTACGAGTAAACCGATTCACAGTTGAGCGCGTACTCATTGATCTGAGGAGCACATCGGAGGTTATGTACTACAAGACATTCACCAAACTCGGCTTCTCCGAGTCGGATCTCTCTCCAGCCCCTTATCCATTATTCGGCTTCAATGCCAATCCAGAGTACCCGTTGGGAAAAATCACACTACCCGTTCGAGCAGGCTCCCGAACAGTGGATGTGGAATTCTTGGTCGTCAAGCTGCCATCGCCGTACAATCTCATCATGGAGCGATCTTAGTTGCATGTTATGTAGGCCGTGCCAAGCACCTATCATCAGCTGCTACGTTTCCTAACAGAACGCGACATTGAGCAAGTCTGTGGCTCCCAGAAATCAGCACAAGCATGTTATCTCCTTGCTCAAAAGACACCAAAGGAGTTGCAAGTGAACTCTATTGAGGTAATAGATCGGGAGAGCCTCGACGATGTTGGGCAGCTCCCAAATGAAAAGGCCACGGAAGACTTAGATCGAGTCGAAATCAATGGCAACACAAACAAGTTCTTCATGGTCGGCGCCTCCCTCAATCAAGCCGACAGACAGTAGCTAATTTCCTTCCTACTCGGCAACCTTGATGTATTTGCGTGGACTCCATATGAGATGCCGAGTGTAGATCCGTCTATTTCGCAACACCGTTTAAATGTTGACCCTAAATGTAAGCCAATCATTCAGAAAAGCTGGCGATCAGCCGTAGAGCACACTACCGCCGTTGTTCAAGAGGTTGATCGATTGCTTGACGCCGGGGCAATCAGGCAAGTGACTTACCCTACATGGCTCTCTAATACTGTGGTTGTAAAGAAGAAAAATGGGACCTGGCGAGTCTGCGTTGATTTCACGGACCTAAACAAAGCCTGCCCCAAAGATTGTTTTCCTCTCTCCAGGATAGACCAACTGGTAGATGGTACAGTACGTCATCACCGTATGAGCTTCCTCGATGCCTACAGAGGTTACCATCAAATTGCCATGCATCCGGAGGACCAAGACAAAACTACATTCCTCACCCCAAGAGGAACCTATTGCTACAAGGTTATGCCTTTTGGGCTGAAGAATGCAGGGGCAACTTACCAGAGACTAGTCACCACCATGTTCAAGGAGCAACTTAGCCACACTATGGAAGTGTACATTGACGACATGGTGGTCAAATCCAAGGAAAAGTAGAATCATATAGCAGATCTAGAGAAGACATTTGACATTCTACACAAATATGGAATGAAGCTGAACGCTTCCAAATGTGCGTTTGGGATCGGCTCTGGCAAATTCTCGGGTTACATTGTCAACCACTAAGGAATCGAAGCCAATCCAAGGCAAATCACAGCAATCCTGGAACTCGGCTCCCCTCGATCGGTCAAGGAGGTTCATAAGTTAATGGAGATGGCCGCTGCACTTAACAGGTTCATTAGTCGTTCCACGGATCGCTGCCGACAATTCTTTTATACACTACCGCAGGGCAAGGCTTTTGAATGGTCCGCCGAGTGCGAAGCTGCTTTCAACGGCCTCAAAACCTACCTCCGATCAGTTCCACTCTTGACAACACCTTCGGCAGGCGACCCGCTCATTTTGTATCTGACAGTTTCCGACCGGGCCATCAGCGCTGTATTGATAAAAAAAAGAGCTAGGGGAGCAGCAGCCAGTATATTATGTGAGCAAGGCAATGGTCGACACCG